ATATTACAATCCTTTTGCTTTTAAATTAATAAATAAGAAACACCCTCGGTCTGTAGCCCTTGGCTGGAAAGTGGTTTTGCGCAACTTATCAGATAGTGCGCTTTGAGTGGCGCCACCGTCGTTGTAATTAAACTCTAGTCGTTAGTTTTAAAACATTTTTTTAAAACATTTCTAATGGTGATTAAACCATGAAACTTTTTATGTAGCGTAATTATAACCTAAATTAGCTGAAAATAACCCTAGAACCTAGAGTAAACTCTCCCTTTAAGTTTTGTTATATATATGGGATGAATCAGGCCGGATAGGTGATTATTTTCTTAAACAAGTTAGTAAATTACTAGATATCAGTTGGAAAATGCACAAAATCACGCAGAACCATGAGTTTTATGAAATAGTTAGACTGAATAACTGATTATTTTCTAATGTAAGTCGGTAAAGATATGAAGAATCTAATCATGAATAAATAAATAAGAAATAAGAAAGTAATCGCGAGATACGAAGGTCAGACAAACGAACAAATGCCGGTTGAAGGTCGTTCAACATGGCCGCCGCGCGTCTCTCTGTGCGCAGGTACGATGCTGAACTGCCGCGCGAGGGTGCGCTCGTCGAACCCGGACACGTCTCAGCTGCTGCTCATCGTCTCTGATGGCCGCGGGCTGTTCAGCGAGGGCGTCGAGGCGGTGAGGCAGGCCGTGAGACGCACACAGGAGGCGCACGTCTTTGTCGTGTTCGTCGTCATCGACAACCCGAAGAGCAAGGTCGGTGTCTCGCGTGCGTGCGTGGGGGGGTTAACGAGTGTGAATTAATTGATTTATTTGGTTAATTTATTCACTACATTCTGTGAATGAATTCATTCGTTATTTGCATGATATCATTCGCTGGATTCTGTGAATGAATTAATATATTTGGCGATGTCATTCACATTCACGAGTTAGTCCTACATGGCTAAATATCAATGATCACTTTCACTGTTGTGATGTTCTTTATAATGTCAGTGTTTATGGTAATAAAGAATCTACTGCTATTAACACCACTACGAGATGTATGTCTACCACTATGAAGTTCCTGATGGAAATTTTTTCCCCGGTGGGTAGGATTCCATACTGGACATCCGGGTCCCGATCTTCAAAGGCGCGGGCCAGCTGCCGGAGATCACCAGCTACATGGAGCACTTCCCCTTCCCCTTCTACGTGATCCTGCGTGACATCAACAGTCTTCCCGCCACGCTGGGAGACGCCCTGCGCCAGTGGTTCGAACTGGTGTCCGCGAGCAGCTGAAGAGCATGCGGAGCGAGCGTGATGGACACTCACGCAGGGATAGCAAGGTCGGTGCATTCAGCCACAGCTAAGATGACATGTGAGATGGCAAGGGGGATGGATCCAGTAGTGACATCTAAGATGACGTGTGTGAGGTAACAAGGGGGATGGATCCAGAGGAAAGTGTTGTGGGATGTGTGTGAACAAGTGTACATGTGTGGTGGGAACCAGCCCACTATGCAGCAGTGCTGCCACCACGGTGTCACGTTGGTCACTCCCTGTGCAACAAGGTGCACTGGATGAGAGGTCACGGGTCCTATGAGCTTATAGGCTACTGGTTCTACGTTGATTCCCATTCTGTTAGCCTGCAGGCTATACACCTTCTACGTGGGTTGCTGTAGGCTTATTGTTACCCTACATGTTATAGATTCTACGTGTGTTACAGACTTGAGCTTAACAGGCAATAGATTCTACTTGGGATATCGTCAAGGGTTTTATTGTCATTGTTACTGTTGGTTAGCCACTTGCAGACGCTTGCAAGACAGCTCGTTCCAATTGCACAATGTCGTTTGTGTGATGGCATATAATAGTATTCCCCTTTTTCGCATAATAACTGAATCATGAGTGTCACCTGTATGAAGTGTTTATGGAAGATGAGTATCATGAAAGGTGTTTTTGTTTTTATGTATTTCTTGCATGGTGGTTGCCGTCTTAAAATCGGCAGAGTGGAAAGATGAATATAGCTTATATTCGGGTTCACAGAATGCATCTCTTTTTGCCCATTTTGTATCTCAAGTTCACTTCGCTGGCACACGCTTTGATACTGAAACAAACTTCACAGTACAATCAACAATAAACACACACAAATATTAGGTAAATCACGATATTTTTTATCATAGATGAATATTTTCACAATGCTTTAAAAATGCATTAATTTTATTTCTAAAAATAATTTCTAACCAGATCTGGACTATAATAAATTCTTCTATGACACTAATTCACTAGACTTCTGTAAGAATCAAGTCATAATACTCGTGTAGTATTGCAATGAACCGCAGAGCCACGTCAGTGACAATTATTAAAAATTTGTGGTTCACCAATATCTGACTAGTTATTTGAAACAAGTGGACTTAGTTAATTAACTTCACCTGACAACGTGATATAAATTATTAGAGTTGTTACGGGAATTAAAAAGTGCTGAAGTTAGGTAAGAAAAACCGTGCCCTGTCAGATCACCGAGTTTCCACAGAAAATTTAAAACGTGACAGCAACGTTGGCAGGAGCAAATTTGCACCTGTGACCCAACTATAAGCACTCTCTATCTATAAGTCACAGTCTATAAACTCTCATGCTGTGACGATTACAAATTACTGGAATATTTTGTATAAGTGCAGTGAGCATCACCTCCCTTGAAAAATGTGTATAAATTATATTCCAAGCGGTTGTCACATAAACTAATTTCCTTAGTTATTGCATCAACATATATAATATAAATTCTTCGAAACGTTGCCAAAACGTCCAAAATATTATTTTTTAAAGACACAAATTAGCTCACTAATAATTTCATTTCATTTTCAATTTAATTCACTATTAATTCATCAAATCAATTTAAGGAACATTTAATTCAACACACCAACCTACAGGAATGTATAAGTCATTTCATTACATGCATCTAATATTAGTGTTAAATGTCTTCAACGGTCGTTCGACCTGGGATCAGAGGATATATCAAAAATCAACAACCTCTACTCACGAATCTTCTTAAATAATGCGGTGATGATAATTATCCTGTAAAATCACAAGGACCCTCGCCTACGAGGGGCCAACTTCACAACTCGTGCAACGTCATCCATAGTCGATACCCGGACCAAAAAATCACAATCATCTTTTTTTTAAATCGGTCACTAAACCCGATCGAGATATCACTACTCCGGCGGCCAGGGGGGGGGGTCGGGTGAGTGTGTCGCCAGCGCCCTCTCCCAGCTTCCTCCTCCCCGACGGCCGGCCGGCCGGGGCGGTCGTCACTAGAGTCTTCGGTAGGTGCCGATGTGGTGACGGCAGTTTGGACAGCTGTGCTTTACGTCTTGCATCTCCGGAATGCAGAACGGAATCAGGCAGCATCCCCACCAGCAGCTGCAGCAAAACACGCAAAGCAAGCTCGTAAAACGACTGAAAGTGTGGCGGCGGGGGTGATGGCCGCGCAGAAAACATTGCACGAAGTCGCGGTTAGAACTAGACGATTTTGTCGGCATCGGTAATCGAATGGCCGAACGAACAGTTGGGTCAGACAAGTGTGGCCAGCTAAACGATCGTCGAAGCGGTCGGCCGTAGCTGTCACGTAACTTCTGTCTTGCTGAATTGATCTAGATCAAGGTCCAAGGTTGTGTTTCTGTGTGAGAACTGCCTAGATGACTGGTAGACTGGACACGAGCGCCACCTACACACGGTAGACTGAACACGAGCGCCACCTACACACGGTAGACTGAACACGAGCGCCACCTACACACGGTAGACTGAATACTAGCGCCACCTACGTATGCGGCCACGTACCCGAACACGCAGCACACCAGGGAGGTGAGCCAGGCGGCCGATCCGGGCGCCGTCTCCACAGAGGTCAGCACCGTAGCCTGGCACGCGGGACACTGCAGCGTTGCCGACACCGGCCCGAGACACTGCACGTGGGTTATGAACATGGTCGTATTCGGTACTTCTCCGACCGGTATGGGCGCGGCCGCCGGGGGCATCCAGTTAGAAGGTTGCGCTGGATACCCTGGCTCTGCGATTAATTCACCAATTAAAATTATTGTTTGAAACACTTTTATATAAATCATTATTTTAATAAATCGATTTTTTGCCGTGCTCGAAACAAAATGAACTCTGTAAGTCTGGTGCAGTTATTCGGAAGTTACTCGTCAAAGTGAATCGAATTTTTATTACGTTTTGCTAAATTGTAGATTTCATAGGATCAGTATTAAGTTCTCTTGATATGTGCAGATCAAACTACTAACTATGAATTTATACATTTAAAAGAACTACGTAGTTGCAGGTCTGTAGTTTTCTTGTAGTTGTAGGTCTTATATGTTACGTATATATGTAATATGCAACGTGCCATGATATGTAAATTCCACTGTGAGCCTTGATCAGCACGCACGCACGCACGCACCAACACTTGCACACTCACACATACACACCCACACACACACGTACACGCACTCACACACGTACACATGCACACACATACAGACACACACACATGGACTTACTTACGTGGGGGAATCTGCCCAAAGGCTGGAGGATTGGGGTTGTAACACTGTGGATTGTAGCGCAGCTGCTGGTTGTTGCAGCTGTACGGCGGAGCAGCTGTACCGTCCCATCAACGAGTAAGCAGAGATGGTAGAGGATGCTCACACACAGTAGAGTAGAACACACACGTGACAATCTACGCTACGACGTCAGGGCCGTAGGCTGAGCAAATTCCTAGGGTGGGGAGGGGGGCAATGGCGGATCCAGGATTTCAACGAGGGGGTGAGAAACAGATGGGAGGTCTGTCCTCCCACAGAAAATTTTGAAAATGTAGATGGCAGGAGATGGTATTTGAGGCACTTTTGAGTACATGTACAGCCTTCATTCTGACTATGACAATTCTCTTTTAGTAGAACAATTAATTTTTTCAATTTTGCTCCAAAATCTAGGGGGGCCGCTGCCCCCCTTGGCCCCTGCAGGCTACGCCTACTCGCGAGCCACCCTCGTAACTGACCTGGTTGGTACATCTTTCCATATTCCCCCGGCGTGTACGGGGGAGGTGCCTCAAGAGGCGCCCCCTGCTCCGGACCCTGGCCGGAGGTGGCGGTCGCAGCGGTGGCGGCAGCAGCGGCCCCAGTAGAAACAGCTTGTTTCTCCGCCATGGAGGCAAAGGAATATAAGTAGTGGGACGGACCGCCTATGTCAGCAACGGGGCGAGATAAGCGCAAGAAGTATCAAAATTTCCTGGTGCACGTGCGACGAGACTCGAAACCTGTCAACAGGAAAGCCATCGATGCCCAATAATTAATTACAATTACAGGTCACGCTTATACGGGATACATGGTATGCGATAAATGCAGAGATATAATTAAATATATATATATATATATATACAATAACGTCTTGTGCCTGTAAATGTCAAAATGTTGAGCAACTTTCACAATATTGATCAACAGAACAAAGTATTTGCAGTTCCTCACATTTCCTTGTGTGTACTTCTGTACCATTTTGCCATCTGCCTTTACATCTGCCGCACTACATGGACTTACAGTTTATTTTTATACTTTTATATTATATATTTTAGTTACTATTATCTATGCCATCCACGAATATCTGTGTGTAATTCACACAGCAGAGTTAATTATACATCCATTGCACCTGCCACCTATAGTGCCAACACTGTTGCATGCGCCAGTGTGTAGGGGTGAAGTCCAGTGTGCACACTTACCCGCTAGCAATGTAGCATACAATTTATGACTCACGCACTCAAGTGTATTGTAAATTACAATACACTTGAGTGCGTGAGTCATAAATTGTATGTAATTTACAATGTAATTAGTATTACCAGCATGCAGCATCAAAACTTGATAGCTGTGTCATTCTTTTAATAGAATTTCATCATTTTATTCCCACTTAGTTTAGACAATATCTATATTAACTATAACCTACATTGCATGACATGCTCTTATGGCTATAAAATAGCTAGAATGAGATCAGCAGTTTCTGGTGATGTGCATGTTTCTTGGTGGTGTGATCGAGAAACATTTCAACCTTGCTCGTTAATATAATCTGCATGAGCAGTGCTCGAAATAAGAAAAAAAATGTGGTTGTCCTGCGGACAACCCCGGCATCAAATCGGGTTGTCCGCAACAATTTCTGGTTGTCCCCAAAAAAATCCCCAAATCTCCTATTTTCAATCACATAATAATATAATCAGAAAACACCCAAAAACAGTGGCGTAGCCAGGATTTTTTTAACAAGGGGGGCCAAAAACAGCGAACTGCGCAAAATAGTGGATGACTTAATATTTCACTGGCTCCTCCGCCTCCCTCTCCACACCCTACGGCTCCCCTAACTCTCGGCTCTGCAATCTTTGTTTTTGGCGCCATGCGAAAAGGCGACATTTTTGTTCATTGTTCTCTGCTCCCAAAATATGTAATTGTTCAGTGGCGGGTCTAGGATTCCAAGGAGGGGGGGTCAAATATATAAAAAATTTAATTTTTAATTGTTGTAAAAATTAATTGCTGTTATTAAAATGTTGTAAATAAATCATGTAAATATTTGCGTTAATTGAAAAAAAATGTTAAACAGATAAAGATAGAAAAATACAGAAAACAGAATAATAATTAGAAAACGAATGATGGGATTCGATCCTCCGACCTTTCATACTTGACGCCCGCGCTGTACGCGCTAGGTTATCAAGTCATATTGAGAATGATAGTTTTGGATGTGCTATGTATATCGTGAGAAAACAAGCTCAACCAATAGCAGCGCTCATTACAGCCCTATGTTCTTGATTGACCTAGGAAAAAAAATCACGCGACTGGCGTGTCATTTTTGTGTTTGAAATGTAGTCAGACAACTTTGTAGAATTCCGCATCATAGAGCTGGCAAAAGTTTTGAGCGGAGCATAGAGCATGAATCTGTAGTTATTTAACATGAATAAAGTGTATGTTGTGTAAGCGAAGTAACAGTGTGAGTATTTTTAATTAATATCTGTTCGATGCTTATTCAGGCCTGCTGCCTATGGACGCCGGCTACTGTTGTTCACCACCACTGGGTAATGCTATCCCACGGGCGTGGAGGGAGGTGACCGCAATGTGGCAGCACTAGTGTTGGGATAGTGTTAGGATTAGGGTTAGGATCAGGGTTAGGGTTAGGGTTAGGGTTAGGATTAGGGTTAGGGTTAGGGTTAGGATTAGGGTTAGGGTTAGGGTTAGGGTTAGGGTTAGGATTAGGGTTAGGGTTAGGGTTAGGATTAGGGTTAGGGTTAGGGTTTTTGCATTATCATGATATCTGTCCCCACACCATAGATTAATTTTTGTGGATCACAATGCCTATATATAGCGCGGCGACACATATATATTTAGTGTGAGTGTTAGTGTTGGCGGTGTTGGAGTGAGGGTTAACGTTTTGAACGTCATCGTCAACGTTATCACGTGACCTCCCTCCACGCCCGTGGGATAGCAACACCACTGATCTCTATAATATAATATATATTATAGAGATTATAGAGATTATATAGATATATAGATATAGATTATATATCGAGTTCACCTCTCATAAATCAGAAAACCTGACATATGATATTATACCAGTGTTGGAAATAGCAGCTGGTCCCATATTTTTATATTATTCACGATTTAATTCACGATTAAGATTTCTTGATGAGCTAGAAAACACTCGGATTTGAAATTGAAGTATGAAACTGAACATTATTGTGCCAGCTAGCCTATACCAGTTGGTTGCATGGGATTGATTGTCAGTTCAGATGCAAAATATTGAAAGCAAAAGGTTATACACCATAGATTAATTGGGTACCACGCGTATATAAGATAGCCGAGTCGGTTTAGAGTTAGTGATAGGGTTAGAGATAGGGTTTCTTGGTTGTCCACCGGACAATGTCTCAGACTGGTTAGGTTGTCCGGCGCAAATTCTGGTTGTCTCGGACAACCGGACAACGCTTATTTCGAGCACTGATGAGCAATGTAATTAATAGCTTCCCCATATTTATGATATCATACTACACTGCTTTATAATAAAATGGCAATTTTTGGGGGGTACTGCATACCCAGTAGTGCAGGCTAACAGCCACTGCCTAACTACAACAGTTCTGCCACTGTATTGCCTATTATATCTACCACACTGTTGGCAGTGCTGCAGCCACACCACCTATACTAGCTAGTAATAGTATCAGATAGTATAGCTACTACATAGATACAATATTAATGTAACCCAACAAGAGTAGGGTTAGGGTTGTTGGGTTACATTGTTTTATCTAAGCTACTACACATCTGCCGATGTATTTCCTAACTACTAGTCTACACTACTGCCAGTAGTTAGGTGATACAGTACTGCCGCTGCATTGCTCAATTAAGTAATACACAGCTACTGATATATCACATTTCTTCTAGTACTACACTGTTGCCGCTGTACCGCCTAAGTTCCCTAACCACCACACTGTTGACACTGTATCGCCTAATTACTACATTAAGGTACTGTTGCTGTACTAACTTTTTTTGAATTGGGGATGCAAATCATGCAATTTAGCACACTTTAAAGTGATTTTTTTTATCCTTTCATTGTACTGCATAAAAGGACAAATTACTTTTCATTAAATAGAAATTGAGGTCTCGGTCTTAGCCTCGGAGTGCAATGACTCAGACTCGGACTCGGACTCGAGCCCTCCGGACTCGAGGACTCGGGTCGAGGCCGGCTCGAGGCCACTACATACATAGTACACAACTGTACATATTGTAACACGCAGTTTACAAGAATTTAAAACAAAAACTCCTAGGTTTTCTAGATACACGGCCTAATCTTGTAACGTTTTCAATGGCTTGATTAAGATTCTTGTCCCTTTGGTTTGAATCTGCTATCACTTCGTCCTTTTGCGCTTTTTCTACCACTTCTTTCTCTTCTTCTACCACTTCGAAGGTACTATCACTCTCTCATTTGGTTCAACAAGCCGTGTCATTCTCGTAAAACACAAATGGATCCTTTACTTTGACACATTTCGTATGACTCGTGTCTCTGTGTTTTCGGCTGACAATATACACTTTCGAATGTCTACGATGCACTGTTGCGATTTTTTCCCCTTTTTCCCGATTTTTTCCCTTTTTCCAATTTTTTCCCTTTTTTTAATCAAAACTGGACTCGGACTCGGGGGGTGCGGACTCGGACTCGGACTCGGACTCGGGGGGTGCGGACTCGGACTCGGACTCGGACTCGGGGGGTGCGGACTCGACTACAACACTGACTCTCAGACGAATGTCTTTATTGATTGTTCGGAAACTACTTCTGACAGTTGCAAAATGTAGTTGCACTGCATGCCCCTTCGTCCTGAAGACAAAGTTCATGAAACAAATTGCCACAATTGTCGCACTGTTCCCACTCGATACTCCTCAACCTCTCGTAGTTGAAGCTGTGGCAGATTTGATAGGTTTCTTCTTCATTGTCATGTTCGCATTTATCTCCGTATTCTTCAGAACTGGATGATACCGGTACTTCCATTACCTTGCGTTTTCCACGTTTCTTTCCAGACTTGTGGAAATAAGTTGTGGATATAGAAATCAGTTAACCCTAACCCTAATTCTAACCCTAACGTACCCTATCCCTAATTCATACTAATTCTAAAATAAAACAAAATTAGCCAAAAATAATAATAAATAAAATAAATAAGAGACAAAATTAGCCAATCAGAGCCGTACCCTAGCGGATCACTATCTCTCCCCTGTGCAAAATTCCCTACTAAGGTAGCTTTGACATTCAGTGTGACTTTGATAACCAATTATCAAAGTCACCCCGGGTGACGGTAGTCGGTAGGCCACTGCTAGTGCTAGTAGTAGTAGTACTAGTAGTAGTACTAGTAGTACTAGTAGTATTACTATTAGTAGTAGTACTACTAGTACTAGTAATAGTAGTGGCTAGTGCCAGATACCCCTTACCGTTATTTGGCAGACTGTTTCTCTAGACAAATTGCAGGTAGCGACAGTCAGATGTGTTTAACACAAAAGAATCACGGTTGAAAATACGAAAGAAATAGTTGTATCTACAAAATCGGTCTCGTTCCCGGATGTTTGTTTACCTGTGGTCGCCGCGAAGTCGCAATCTCCACCGTGATAGTGACGTCATAAAACATTTCTTCCTTCACAGGGGGCTGACATCTTGCATTAATCGCCCCCTGGCATTGCTGTATACCGGTTACCGGTTGTGGCATGACCGGGTGTATAGAACTACACTTCAATACACCTTATATATTATATATATATGTATATATATATATATATATATATATATATATATATATATATATATATAAGGTGTATATATATATATAGCAGGGAATATTTTATACTTCTTATTACAGCCATAAACATATGTATATGTATAAGAGTATATATATATATATATATTTATACTCTTATACATATACATATGTTTATGGCTGTAATAAGAAGTATAAAATATTCCCTGCTAAGAAAACAGGGCTCCCACCCCTTTACACATTAGGTAACAACTAAAAGAACCTGTAATAGAATACTAGGTAAACCTAATTAAATAGGGGTACCTAATAGGGTACCCAATAAGGGTACCTAATTAAATACTACATACTTATATATTCTTATACAAATACATCAACCGACTTAACAAATCACTTGTAAATTATCTCCTACAATACCTGACAAATTTTACACTAAATTCAAGTACAATGATATTAAAAAAATAATAACATATAATATGTATGGTCACAATTAACCTACTAAAGAGGAAATAATTAAACCAGTGGAATAAACTGCCAAAGTCACAAAAACCATATCCTCACCTAACATATATGTGAAAAATTGCTAAAATTAGTTTTATCGTTATATATATATATATATATATTGATATATATATTGCATTGTATTTATTGTATTGTATTACTCAGAAACTGTGGTATTGTAACATTTAAACACTATCACACCCATCAGATTTTTTTTCTGTGTGAAACCACATTTTCGGTACATGTATTTGTATTCGAATTATATGCAAGAAAGATATATTATAGTAAATACACACGGCACAATCTTTTAAATGGTTTGCTATAACCTAGTATTCCGACTTGCCATATAAATTGGAACATATATATATATATTCGTATTGGTTGCGTAAACTAGTTTATTCTACTCCCAGGCCAATTTAAACCTTTTTTAGTGCTGAAACTTTTAAGAGTAGATATATCCCTAACCAATTGCGTCAGCTCTACTTCTGTAGCCGTTTGCTCCACAACAGGAGAACAATCTTGTTGCAATCTAAGGGCTACGCCGATAGAGCTGTCCATACCTAATCGCTGACACAATTTTGCAGTAAAGGCGCAAGATGGTAAAATAATGTACATATTGACAATGTTTTACATATTAAGTACATAGTACAATATTAGGAACATAATATATACATAGTATATATATCTCTTCATGCCAAATCTGGAATGAAAGTACATTAATTCATAATAACTAAATAAGGCACCATTCCCCGTAGGAATTTTATTTTAAAATTATGCTGCAAAATGACATTAAAAATTTTATAGCTATTTTATGTAAATATTCGTATACTGGAACATCGTAACTTGGATTTGTAATTCTGCAAAGCAGCATGACTCAGACATTTCATGAACGGCGTGTCCGTTATTAGTATGTGGTGCCTACTGATCTCTATAATAACAATTTTATTATAGAGATCAGCGGTGGTGTCCCTTCGTACACTCAGGATACCACTGCCCAGGCCCGTAGCCGGGGGGGGGGGGGTTCGGGGGTTCGAACGAACCCCCCCCCCGACGCCCCTCCAAGCAAAAAATAAATAATTTTGTAAATTTAGTCAAGAATTTCTACCTCTGATTTGCTTCTTTTGGCGATAGGTCATTTTTGTGGGCTGTTGAAATGTGAGTCGGAGGCAACTTTTGGATGGAGCAATTCCGGCGCATCTAGTAGAGCCTGGCAAAAGGTTTTTGAGAGGCGCGGATAGCATAGAGCCATGAATCTGTGATGTGTGATGTACTATGACGATAGAGAGTGTTGGTTGGTGTAAGCGAAGTAGACAGGTTGCTCGTGTGAGTATTTTAGATGTTAATAGACTGTTCCGATGCTTCATCTCAGCTTGCTGCCGTATGGACGCCGTCTCGTCGTCCTGGTGTTATCAGTCGCCACCCGCCCCCACTGTGGTGGGTGCTATCGCGCACCGGCGTGGAGGGAGGTGACCGGCACGATGATGGCCGCACTAGATCGTTGGGGATAGCGGGTGTTAGGACTTATGGGGTTATGATCCACAGCGTTAGGGTTAGAGGCGTTAGGGGTTGGATGGCTTAGGGTTTTAGGGTTGAGGACTTGAGGCGTACGGATTGTACCGGTTCGGATTAGGGGTTAGGGGTCTAGGTTTTTGCAGCCTTACTCGATCGATATCTGGTCCCACCCGATGAGATTAATTTTTGTGGATCAAATGCCTATAGTATACCGCCGGGCGCCCTATATCATTTAGTGTGAGTGTTGAAGTGTTGGCGGTGTTTGGGAGTTGAGGGTTAAGCGTTTTAAGCGTGCATCGTCAACGCTTATCCGACGGTGACCCGTCCTCCACCGGGACCGTGGATAGACCGGCAACGCCACGTGGTCGTCTATAAATGAGTACATTTATATAAGGTTGTAGAAGATTATAGAGAATTTATATAGATAGTATCAGATATACGATTATATAGATAGTAGATAACGATAGCGAGATTATCCTTATAGCAGATCAGTGAGCAATCACCCACGCACCACTTAGGGTCAGTCGTTGTATAAAAGCGCGCCATCTGTTGCGTGGAGTTTTGCAGTTTTCATTGCGTCGCAAACCAATCACTACGGAGCTTTCTGCCAATTGCCATAGATGTGGCAATGACGATCTACTGATGCGATGCTGTCTGGAGCGCGCTGACTCTCTAAGAGAGGATGAGATGTGATCATCCACCTGTAATCAGCTCGTATGCTTCAGTCACCCCGTGTTGGATGGTGTGTCTTTTGGGGCAATTTGTCATATGGTGGCTTATGAGCTAAAGCTGCCAAAGGATAAGTGTCGAAGGTGGGTCCTCAGGCGATTAGGGTGAGTTGACTGCGATGGTAGTATGAGGGGTTACCCGTGCGGAGTCTATACGGTCCATGGAATTTGACAACGCCTGTGTGAGTGGGGTGAAATGTTAACGTCGAGGGAACGACATCACGTGTATCTAGAGCTTACGCAGGTGTCACTGCGTGCTGGCGGAAGTGAATCGAGGTGACGCTGCATTTGCTCATCAGTCATAGGTCCGCTATGTGCCCTGCCGCAGGCGGTAAGCTGTGGCCGGCAACCGTACCCCGCTTGGGGTACCGGGTTTCGGGTATACCGAACGCTGTTGTCGGAGGCTACCGCTCGTGGGGGGTAACGTATTTGGATATGTTTCTTACGAGGTACGGATGAGTGATTAGGTTAAGGGAGTGACGGCTAAAGGCGACTCCCTGAGCCCTCGTTATGGACAGTAGGCGGCCGCGGGTCAGCGGTCCGCGGTAGTATGAGATACGTATGTTGAGCACTAGTGACGAGGGCTCAGCGCTTCGGTATAGGGCGGTCGAGTTCGAGGATGCGCGGTGACCGGTGACTGCAGGGGTAGCGTGTTCCGGGTCAGTAGCCCTGGGGGGCATAGACGCCTGCGTAACGGCAGTGATGGCCGAGTGCCACGTTGATCAAGGTGGAATATGTAACAGATAGACATGAGCTGCGGAGATAAGTACGCTGGTGAGAGTCACAGGTCGCAAGCTAGTGCGTATAGAGCATGTAGTAGACGGAGATAATACAGATAGCGATTACAATATGCATGTACCAATACTGATTACGAATATGTATTACGAGAGGGAACGGGCCACGGTGGAGGACTTGGTAGGATGAACGTACGGGAGTGTGTCGGATGGGGATTGGAGCCAGAAGATGATGGGGGGGAGGGCAGTGTCTGAGGCGCAGCAACGGAGCGGAGGACCTGTAAGCGCGATGTCGGGGGATGGGGGTTCGACCGGACCGGCGGGGAGTGGACGCGGGACGGTTGTTGTCGGCGCCGAAGGGTCGCCTAGGAGTGTAGGGGCGAGGCGCGCAGGGGCCCGACATGCCAGATTTGGCTCGAGTGGTGCAGTCGGCGCGGGGTTTCAAAGGGTGCGGGTGCGCCGCGGGTGCTGGGGGTGTTGGAGGTAGGAGTCGAGTGTGCGGCGAGAAAGCGGGTGAGGAGCGGGGAAGCGTTGGAGTGAGAATGAGCGGGGCGGGTGCGGGTCGCGTGACGAGTTTTTTTGGCCCGCGCTAATTAGCCCGTGCCTTCGATTC